GGTATTTCTCGAGCCGTTTTTTCTGCTGTGAGTGTTTTTCGGCTAGTCCTAGTTAATTTGTCGGTCGTGGTCCTGACATATTCTGGGTCGGCTCCAGAACATGGACCTGACATTGTAAGGATTGGAACGGGTACGGTGTAGACTATAATAGGCATGATTGCGTAGGCATCAGTCTTTTCCGGGTCCGACGCATCCAACCGGAGAAAGCAAAGCGTAAGCAGGAGAAATTGGAACTTAAGAAGCGCGAAAAGGAGGAACGACAAGCTGCAGAGGAAGCTTGACAAGCCGCTACCCGTAAGGCGATGAAGAAAGAAGAGAAACTACGCAAGGACGCCGAAGACCTAGAACGGATGAGGAAGGAGATGCGTATGGAAATCTCTATGCATATAGGAAATTTGAAGGATGAATTGCATGGAGTCTTTGAGTGTCAAGCCAAGTAGAGCGCGAAGGGAAAAAAAATAAAGAAAATTGAAACTGGCTCGTCGTCGGACTTGTTCAACCACCTGATTTGATTAGACAGGGCAAGGGTGATAACAACTAGGCGATAAAGTAGCTCGGCCGTCTCATCCAATATATTCTTCTTCAGGAACTCAATCAAGTAGTGGCCACAGAGTCCATAATCTTGGTACTGTTCAGACCTCCGCGCCTCCATGTCCCTCGTCCAGATCTTCCTCTGGACCAGCGCCCTTGTCCGCCTCTATAGCGTGTTCATCTTGCTCCTCCTCGCCGTTAGATCCATAAGCTCTTTCGCGGTACGTTTCTCGGTAATTGCCAAAATTGCCTGCATTTTCTTCCCTCCGTACACGACATCTTCCAGTACGCAGATGCGTTTGAGCTCGTCGACGTTGAGGTCACCGAGTTCGCGTAAGTTCTCCGTAACGAACTTCAGTTTGCCGATAGATCCCTTCGCGGCTGGTATCTTCTTCCTCGCAGTGCGTCGTGTCAGAGTCTTGAGCGGAGAAGTCTTCTTTATGGAGGGATGTCGACACCCCTGTTGCAAAAGCCTCTTCGCTGTTCTCTTGGCTGGAGTTTCCGTAGGGGGACTGTCCCCCACAGGCTTATCGGCACACCATTTGCGTTTCTCAGTAATAGCGAGGCGTTCTATCTTGTTGCTGAGGGCATAGACATCGCTTCCATAGGATTCATGGTAATCCTGGGTGGCTTTGTATAGGCGTCATGGTATTCGCTGCTTTACTGACGTCGGTAGCTGCGTATATGTCCTTACCTCTCCGATATGTCGTTTTCAATACGTCGGTCAGACTAGCAGGTTTGGTAGTATACGTTGGAGGGAGCACGCCTCTGTAAGTAATCGAGGCCAGAAGTGTAATCACCTGTATAGGTGGTGGAGATTGTTCGGACATGAATCTTACGTATTGATACATGTGGCGGTCTGTCCACGAAAATATTTGCCGTTGATTGAAAACACCTTTATACAGAGATGGTGTTTGTTTTTGAATATTGCGGGTAAAGGGTTGTCGAGGAAAGGTAACTGACGTAGACGGAAAGGGAAGCACGAACGGAGAGGTGTCGGGGCCCGCGTAGACCCGGCAGACCAACCCAAGGCCTTTATCCCTATCAAAGCGAGAGTGGGGGACGATGAAGAATGGAGTGCGGATGTTTTTTGGATTTTAGCTGACCTCGAGTCCAAAGGTA